TGTGCCAGTGGGCTGAAATAGGAGTAGACAGGGATTGGAGAAGTAAGCTTTGCATTGGAGTAGGAAAAATGAAAGGCATACAAATGAGCAAGTGAAAACAAGGAGTCCTTGTTGAACACAAGCTGCATATGAACCAGGGATGTAGTGATGCTGCTGCAAAAATAGGAAAGGCATCTTAACAGATTTGACAGATAATCAGAGTTGTAAGGGACTTTGTAAGTCATCTAGTCCAACCCCCCGCCCAAGCGGGAGACCCTACACCATTTCTGACAAATGGCAGTCTAATTTCTTCTTGAAAGTCTCAACTGATGGCGCTCCCACCACCTCCGAGGGCAACTTCTGTTCCATTGGTTGATTGTCCTCACCGTCAGAAAGTTTCTCCTGATTTCCAGGTTGAGTCTCTCCTTGTTCAGTTTCCATCCATTATTCCTTGTCTGGCCTTCAGGTGACTTGGAAAATAGTTTGACCCCCTCCCTCCTCCCTGTGGCAGCCCCTCAAATATTGGAAGACCGCTATCATGTCTCCCCCGGTCCTTCTCTTTACTAGACTAGCCAAGCCCAGTTCCTGCAACCGTTCGTTATACGTTTTAGCTTCCAGTCCCCTAAATCCTTAATGAAGATCTTGGGGATGGATTAACAAGAGTCTAGGGCTCCGATCACCTGAAGTGATTGTTCTCTCATCTGCCCTCATCAGTTCCCATTTGCAATTCTTATATGCAATTCTGGGTACCGGAGTTCCAAAAAAGACTATGACAAATTGGAGCAATCCCAGAAGAGAGCTACCAAGATGGTGAAGGGTGTGGCAAACTATCTTATGAGTAACAATGAAAGGACCTCAGGAAGAAAGAACAGAGGATAAAAATCATTGCTGCCAAATATCTAAGGGTATCTGCCCAGTGACCAATTCTCTAAACTTTGGAAATGTGCTAGGAATCTGCCCTGTGGGAAACCTTCCATTCCTTTGAGAATATATGAGAACCAAGCCACTATTTTGGCAGGAGAGGAAGCAAAGCACAGAAGCTGCTCAAAACCAGAGTGTTGGCAAGGAGCAAAGTCTTTCCAGGTTACACTTAACTGGTCTGCTCTGATCCTCTTTCCTATTACTGCATCTGATAAACAATTTATGCAAGGAGGAAGGGAGAGAATCTGTGGAGAAAAGACTGGTGTCCAAATTCTCCTCCACAGACGAAACTACATTTTGGCGTCTGCAAAGCATTTGCTGCAGGTTTTTCCTCCTCTTTCACAGGCTCTTATTCCTGGGTGACAGGAAGATAAAAATAACATTCCTCCTGGACCTGGACCACATCAACAAGGCCTCTCCCCAGATGTACACTTTCTTTTATGCCAAGTTTGATGCAGAAGCACCCCGGTGTCTTCAAATGGAAATGGAGATGCATCAGATACGAGGCCAGGACAAGCCAAAAAAGCCTTTTGTGGTGAAGGGGAAGACAATCCTGAGGAGAAAGTACACACTCTCACAATTCCTGCACTACAGCAAGTGTGCATTCCAGTCGTTCAGTACCTCAAAAGACCCCCAAATACTTTAGAAGTCTCAGGCCCCTGAATAAGAAAGTTCCTGCCTAATCAAGGCAGAACCTGGAGGCAAAAGTTGCTATTTAAAACAAAATTAAGCCAGTGCAATTCTCCTTTCTTTCTTTTTTCTTTTTTCTTTTCTCTTTCTCTTTTCTCTTTCTTTCTTTTCTTTCTTTTTCTTTCTTTCTCTCTCTCTCTCTCCCCCTTCCTCCCTTCCTTTTCTTTCTTCCTTTTCTTTCTTTCTTTCTTTCTTTCTTTCTTTCAGAGTTCTGCAAAAGGAAGCATTCACAACTTTTGCAGCCAATCTTTTCAAAAACCACTCCCCATCTCCAAGACACAGTAAAAGGATCCCAGAGCTGGCTGTGTTTTTGAGGGGCTGCATGTGTCTTGTTACAACAAGTATTAGGATGCAAATCTCATATCGCACAAGCTTTTGGCTGGCCAATAAACACAAACCTGGCCTGCCATGTCTGCGCAGAACAAAAGGCTTGCTCCTAAACTAGCAGGAGCGCTACATAAACAAGGAGCATTCTTGGAGGCTGAGGTCACTGACTTGCTCAGTTATATTTCACCCCAGTCTGCAATTTGACAATTTAAGCATGGGGGAGGCAGTCCGGTTCCCCCTCACCCCACCTCGCTGCATGCACATACATGCGCGCCTTGAAGAATGCAAGTTGCTCTCTGAAAAGCTCTTACGCCACGCACACTCTGCCCTCAGTAAAGACGGTGTTAATGTTAAGACACTGAAAGGTTGGGAAAATCCCTCTTTAAGAATGAAGTAATGCACACAGGTGTGAATATGAGAATCTGGGGTGGTTACACTGATTATATTTTATATCTAATTCCTATATTTACTATTCATTCACCAAAGTTAGTATTTTGAGCAACTCTTAAAAGGTACATTGTTTTATTCAACAACATCAATCACTGCCAATACTGATAATACATTGTCCACCAAACACTTATGGATGTTAAAGAAAAATAATTAAATAAAATTATATAAAAAATCAATGCCAATATTAATATTGAGAATCCATAAAATATTGGATTGGTTCACGTGCAACTTCTCGAAAACTTCAGCTTTTTTTATTAGAGTGAGTTTTAGCTCATGTACCTTCACTGGTTTGTTTGAAAACGTGTGGGGGAATGGGACTCTCAGGCAGGACTAGGTTGCTCAGGTCCCGTATTTGGTGTGTGTGTGTGTGTGTGTGTGTGTGTGTGTGTGTGTGTGAGAGAGAGAGAGAGAGAGAGAGAGAGAGAGAGATAAGTCCCCCTTAAGCAAAATCCCAAGTTATGCAGGGTCATCCCAGGAACTAAGTTCCTGCACCCCTGAATGCCTTTAGCAGCTCCACCGGTCTTTGAAAGACAAAAGGAGGCCTGTTCACCCCTACCAGGAAGATGACTGCCCCAAAAGGGACCCTACTAGGAAGACGGCCTCCAAGATCTAACTATCGGCACAGACTTTGGGCTGCCTTTTAATTCGACTGCCCCAACCTCCCCCAGCAGATTCTAAAACACCTCCCAGCAATGGAGGCCTGCTGATACCCTGAGCTAGCCTGAACTATGGACGTACTATGGAGGGCAAGAACCTGTCCAAGAATCCTGCAGAAGCTTAACATATGGAGGAACTGCACATGTATCCATTGTGTGGATTTAGTCCCACTCCCCAAACTACACTATATAGGAACCCTACTTCCCAAGTTTTCCATCAGGGCAGTTTTCAAACCTACAAGTATGGACTCTTCCGCTAGGTGCCCTTGAAGGCGTCTCAGCTCCACAAAAGGGACTCGTCTTCCCTCGGAGTCAAGTATCAACTGGAGAACCTGACCTAGGAATTCTGCAGTGCCAGAGGACTTTCGTGGCACTGTCCTTGAAAGCATACAGCTTGAGAGGAATAGGCAACCTTTTGGCCACCATTTCATCATGAGTGACTGGGATTCCTTGCTAGGAACCCTGAGAGAAAAGTAGCCAAACGGTGCCCCTCTTCCCTAATCTAGCACATCCTTCAAACCAGCTTGTCAAAATGGCTAAAAGGCGAGCTGGAGAAGCGCCCACATCAGCCAAGGACAGAGCTAGAGAGCCTACAACCAACTAACATCCATCATGTTGTGGATTATGGATCCAACTCCATTTTGTGACATTAAGAATGAACAAAAATAAAACCCGGCGCTCATGTGAGGGGCAACGACAGCCTTCCTTCAAGGATTTCCGAGGATCATTTTCTTTGGAGAGCATCATATGGAAACCTCCCATTTCACAGGAGGAATTCTGAGCGGGCTTCGTGCCAAGCTGCTCTGATCAGCCAGATGGGGCATTTGCGTCCCACATTGTTTTGATTCCCACAGCTGCCGGAGATCTTTTTGGTTTTCTTTAGCATCCAAAGAATGTTAAAAATATAAGTTCTGCGCAGTGGGAAGAAATGTGGGGGAAAGGAGTAGAAGGGCATTCTTTTAAGAAAGTTGTTTGTATACAGAGCGTTGCAAAAAATAAGCATTCTGTGTGGAAGGCAGAGAAAGACTGGCCAGAGGCTACACAGGACTAAAATGTTCTCTTACCAAGCAATCCACATTCTTCAACAAGAAACCCAAATCTATCAATAAAAGAAAATGCTGAACAACATCTACATACCATTTAAATTTTTACTACTTGTCTTATGGGTGTGGCTAGGTGGGCGTGGCCAGGTGGGCGTGGCTGTGTGACCAGGTGGGTGTGACCTTTTTTTGCAGTACCCCCCCAGCGCTGTTTTTTTGGCCTCCCGAGAGGCTGCTTCTGCTCCCAGGAGGTTTCCTGGAGGGCAAAAACGGAGCACTGCGGGGGGCGCAGCACCTCTCCGTGCTCCGTTTTTTGGCCTCCTGGGCGAAGCAGTAAGACAGCGAGGGAGACCCTGGCATAGCGTCGGGAGGACAAAAGAAAGAGGAATACTGTAAGGAGTGACTGAGCGGGGGAGAATGCAGTCGGCAAGGTCAGGCATGCGCGTAATGTCGTCCATGTGCGATAAGGGCTGACTGGGCGGGGAGGAGCGGGTGGAGACAGGTGGGGACAGCCAGGGGCACGATTGGCTGGTTCTCCGAACTGCGCAGAATCGTAACAACCGGATCTATAGAACCGGTCTGAACCGGTAGAATCCCCACCCCTGCTCAGCATGTAACGATGCAAGCTCTGTTCCTTAGGACTTCTGCCCCATGGGCACGGACAAGTACCAAATGCAAGATATTGTGATACCTATTTTGCCGCTTTGTCTCGCCGCAGCTATGCCGTCATTCCTTTCCCATTTCTGGCGAAATCATAATTTTTGCACCCCACTTTAACCCCTCTGCATGCCTTCTACACGACCTCCCCCTTCCTTCTCCCAATAAGACTTTTTGCACGAATCAAAACTCAGACCAAACCATCAGGACTGGCAGGGTTCGGTTTTTAACAGGGGCGCGAGAACTTAAAGAGTTGTCCAAGGATAAATGTGGAACTTACCACAAGAGCAGCATGTAAAGCAGTTGGTATGGTAAAGGTTCCCCATGGCCTGGCAAGCTTGGCTGGCCCCATATACCCCCTTTCCACACTTGATACAAATACCTTTGGAGACAAAAAAAAGAAGAACAGAAGGCACATTAGACCTTGTTGACGGTCTGCAGACCCCCCCTCTCCACGAGCGTCCTGCAGGTCTCTTATTTAAAGGAAAACATGACATTCCCACAGAAGGGCCACGGGGTGCAAATGCCTCCAACCTCTGTGGTACTCTTTGAATTTCTTCTCCCACTTTTTTCCTCCTCTTTCCCATCTTTCTCGTTCCACCTTTTTCTGCTCTGCTGGAGCGAGCGAGCGAGCGAGGGGGGTATTAACATGCTTATACCTACGTGCTGCTGTGCATGAGTGAGCATGGCTGCTAAACTCACATGGGAATCCATCATTTTTGCCAAGGAGTCGCTTATTTCAGAAGCAAGTCGATTTTCTTGCCAGCTATTGCTTTTATTTTCCTTCCTGACATGGGGGGGCAAGGAGGGGGGGCTTCCATGCTGGCTTTTCACTGGAGTTGGAGGTCCTCAGCTGACCAGGCAAGGAAACTGGACATCGGACAGGAATTTCCCTGATTAGCTTTTTTCTGTTTATTCTTCCGGGGGGGTGGGGGGTGGGGGGGTGTTCACTTTAAATTTCTCTCCTTTTGGATACAGTATCGCTTCTTCCTATCTGCTCAAAACAGAATTTGCCCATCCCTGATACTGAGGGGGATACTCAAAGACGTGTCAGAATTCTTATGTGGCTTGTTAGGCTATCTTGGCTGATCTCAACAGCTCGGTAGGACCACATCTAGTTAGGATATGGATGGGAGGCCACCAGGAAATCTTAGAGCTTATAGTAACCTACTGGAAAATCAGAAAATGGTACTAATTTTATGAATTTATTACCTTTGTCTAGAAACAGGCAAAATCTAAGTTCTAGTATTGCCAGAGGTAGAGAGGATAATCTGTTAGTTCTCTTCCTATTGTATTTTCTTGCCATATGTACATTAGAGGGCAATCCCTCATATTGCGAAACTGGGATTAGAAATAAAGTCCTTCTAGTTATAAGGAGAACAGAATCACCAAATTGGAAGGGCCACAGAGGTCGTGTAATCCATCCTCTACCCTCTGCTCAATACAAGATCCATTTTGAAGTTCTTTGGCAGGTGGCCGCCTAACCTTTCTGAAGACCTCTGGCCAAGGAGAACCCACACTGTCCATCACATGGCAGCAACACCTCTTGGACAATCAGCACAAGGTATCTCAAAACAGTAAATCAAATGGATTAAAACGTTGATATTAAAAATCCTAGTTTTAGTAATTCAGAAGTAATGGGAAGTTTTTAAAATTCTGTGCAAACAACTTCCCAAAATGAAAATATAATATACTGCTCAAAAAAATAAAGGAAATACAAAAATAACACATCGTATATCTGAATGAATGAAATATTCTTATTAAATACTTGGTTCATTACGTAGTTGAACGTGCTGACAACAAAATCACACAAAAATTATCAATGGAAATCAAATTTAGCAACCCATGGAGGTCTGGATTTGGAGTTACACTAAAAATTAAAGTGGGAAAAAAACACTACAGGCTGATCCAACGTTGATGTAATGTCCTTAAAACAAGTCAAAATGAGGCTCAGTAGTGTGTGTGACCTCCACGTGCCTGTATGACCTCCCTACAAGGCCTGGGCATGATCCTGATGAGGTGGCGGATGATCTCCTGAGGGATCTCCTCCCACACCTGGACAAAAGCATCCCCCAACTCCTGGACAGTCTGTTGGTGGATGGAGCGAGACATGATGTCCCAGATGTGCTCAATTGGATTCAGGTCTGGGGAACGGGCGGGCCAGTCCATAGCATCAATGCCTTCGTCTTTCAGGAACTGCTGACACACTCCAGCCACATGAGGTCTAGCACTGTCTTGCACAGGAGGAACCCAAGGCCAACCGTACCAGCATATGGTCTCACAAGGGGTCTGAGGATCTCATCTCGGTACCTAATGGCAGTCAGGCTACCTCTGGCGAGTGCATGGAGGGCTGTGCGGCCCCCTAAAGAAATGCCACCCCACACCATTACTGACCCACTGCCAAACCGATCATGCTGGAGGATGTTGCAGGCAGCAGAACATTCTCCACGGCGTCTCCAGACCCTGTCACGTCTGTCACATGTGCTCAGTGTGAACCTGCTTTCATCTGTGAAGAGCACAGGGTGCCAGTGGCGAATTTGCCAATCTTGGTATTCTCTGGCAAATGCCAAACGTCCTGCACGGTATTGGGCTGTAAGCACAACCCCCACCTGTGGACATCGGGCCCTCATACCACCTTCATGGGGTCTGTTTCTGACCGTTTGAGCAACCATATGCACATTTGTGGCCCGCTGGAGGTCATTTTGCAGGGCTCTGGCAGTGCTCCTCCTGTCCCTCCTTGCACAAAGGCGGAGGTAGCGGTCCTGATGCTGGGTTGTTACCCTCCTACAGCCTCCTCCACGTCTCCTGATGTACTGGCCTGTCTCCTGGTAGCACCTCCATGCTCTGGGCACTACGCTGACAGACACAGCAAACCTTCTTGCCACAGCTCGCATTGATGTGCCATCCTGGATGAGCTGCACTACCTGAGCCACTTGTGTGGGTTGTAGACCCCGTCTCATGCTACCACTAGAGTGAAAGCCCCGCCAGCATTCAAAAGTGACCAAACCATCAGCCAGAAAGCATAGGAACTGAGAAGTGGTCTGTGGTCACCACCTGCAGAACCACTCCTTTATTGGGGATGTCTTGCTACCTGCCTCTGCTTTCCACCTGTTGTCTATTCCATTTGCACAACATTTGCATGTGAAATTGATTATCAGTGTTGACAGTTTGATTTCACAGAAGTGTGATTGACTTGGAGTTACATTGTCTTGTTTAAGTGTTCCCTTTATTTTTTTGAGCAGTGTATATACTGTTTTTGATCTATAGAAAATCACCAAGGAAATATTACCTAGTGTTTGGACTAGGGCTCAGTCCCCCAGAGTAAGTATTGATCCTCCCTGTTTCAACCCCATGTTCCTTGAATTAGCGTCTTGATCATGGCAACAATTCTTCTAGGGTCTTTGGGCAGCTTTTCGCTACCCTCCTCCAACTTCCAGAATCTGAGCACAACACTGATTAACTGAGTTTGTTAACATTTCAGAACGATAGAAACGGTTTCCCCGAGTTTCAGCCCAAACTTCCTTAATGAAACACCTCATTTTCTACAAACTCATTCATAAAACATGGCCAGCTCTAGGCCCCACCTTCAATCAATTCATTCATAATCCTCTCCTGGGAAACAGCCCGTTGTGTTCTATCTGCCTCCTCAACCTTTTGAGTATTAGCAACTTCCTGAGGACTGCAATGCATTCGATTAAAAAATGGAATCACCGAACAACTGCCAGGTTGAAGAAGTGTCTTCTAGAACAGGGGTGTCGAACTGGCGGCCTGCAGGCCAAATGCGTCATGCGCAAGCCACGCCCCCCCCCCCCCAGCTCCATGAAGGGGGAAAATATCATGAAACATCGTGATGGCAACATGACGTGGCAAGTTTGACACCCGTGTTCTAGAACATTTAGCATGTAAGACATCAATATATTCCTGATGTAATTTAGGCAAAATATGTATGAGTTTAATGAACTGATGCACATTGCATCATGAGTGCACGAAAGATAAAAATTTTTTTGCAACTGTTGATATTCTACTGTCAATTGCATTAAAATGTCCAGTTTTTATTTACAAACATAACATATAATATATAAATGTAATATAAATACATTTATCTACCCACAGCCACTTTCTAGTGTGAGATGGGCAACATACAAATAAATATGTAGAAACTGGTATCTTGCCTTTCACACGTGTATCACTTTAAACCCTAAAAAAAGCAGCTAGTGCAAAATGTAAAGAACGAAAACCATGATAAAAACACCCACACAAAAAAATCTAATAGAAAGCAAGCAGAACAAACAAGACTTCCAAGTTAAGCGGATGCTGCTTGAGAACAACTTTGTCAAGAGTAAGGAATAAAGTGGGATGAGCAAAGATCACCAGACAGGGGCCAACAAACGGCGGAAGGCAGGGGTGGGGTGGGGTGGGGGTGGGGTAGGGGTGGGGGTGGGGTGGGGGTGGGGTGGGGGTGGGGTGGGGTTCCAAAATCCCAGCAACCGGTTCGTTGCCCGGTTGCTGGGTGGGTGTGGCCTACCAGCACTTTCCCTTTCCAGAGGGCCTCTAGAGCCTGGGGGAGGCTGTTGCTGCCCTCCCAAGGGCCCAGAGGCTTTCCCAAGGCCTCTGGGAGGGCAAAAATGGCCTCCCCAGGACACTGGAGGCCCACTGGAAGCCGGAAACAGGCCCACCCTGCGACTTCCGGTACAGCCATTTTTTTGCCATCCCAAGGGTCCGGAAATCTCCCCCCGGCCTCTGGGAGGGTGAAAACAGCCTCTCCCGGGCTCTGGAGGCCTGCTGGAAGCTGGAAACAGGCCCGTTTCTGGACTTCTGGAACTTCCCGAAGTCTCTTTTTCCCCCTCCCAGAGCCTCCACGCAGACCCTGCCCTTACCTGCATCATGTGGAGACTCCTGGGCGGGGTGGGGTGGGTGGGGCCGGCCGGTCAGTTGAAATACCGCTTTGGCAAACTTTACAGGTGTAACTTTAATATCCGGTTCACTCAAACGGGTCTGAACCGGTAGAATCCCACCCCCGGCTGCAGGTTCCCCTCGACTTAGGATCATTTGTTCAGCAATAGTTCAAAAACACGATGGCGCTGAAGAAAGTGACTTGCAATCATCCCAAAGTTAAAGCCACTGCAGCGCTGCCCCAGTCATGTGACCAAAATTTGGGCACTTGGCAGCCCACTCAGACTCATAACCTTCCCCTTCCCCAGAAGAGGGTGAAAGGCAGCTAGAGCCCAGGGCAACAGGGCCCAGGAGCGCAGGGGGGCTCCGGGGGGGCTGCAGCTCAGAGTCACGGGGCCGAGAGAGACCAGAGGGGCTCTTGAAGGCTGCCCTAACGGGTCAGAGAGAAAGCTGCCTCCTCTCAAGAAAGATGGGAGGTGGAAAGAGGAG